GCCTCTCCGCCAAAGCTGCCAACCCTCCGCTGCATGAGGTCCGGACTGCGACCTCCCTGCAAGGCCCTCATGTTGCCTAGGCCACAAAGCAGTCACTGGGTGACCGTGCCTCTGAGGTCACCTCGTGCCAATGGGGCCCGGCCTGCAACAGAGCCTGCACTCAGGAGTCAGTCCCCAGCCTTCAAAGGCCCTGGGACATCCATTAAAACGGTCACATTATTAACAGCCCCATCAGAACAGAAGCAACGCATGTGACTGCTTATTGTGTGTGTGGCCGGCCCCGTGGCGGTGTCTACACTGCATTGTAAACCTGGGTCTGCAGGGTGGAAACTTGAGCATCCACCTTAAACTTGGGCTTGCAAAAGCTGGGCCAGGGTCTCACAGCAGGGCTAGCTTGTCCGGACTGCACTACACAGCCCTGCTGACTCGGATCTGTGGCTTCAGTGGTGTCCACACTGCAACACGCCCGGGCGTGGCCCCAACCCAAAGTCTGATCTGGGAGTGGATGGAAGGAGGAAGTGGGCTCAAACCTGCCGTTCGTATGCAGTGTGGACATACCCAAAGGTGCCAGGTTGCGCTCTGACCCAAAGACCTTATGCTCTAAGACAGGGGTGGTCAATCATTTTTGTAGGGAGACCACTTCACAAATGTTAATAGGCGGTCGCAGGCCTGGAATGGGCGGGGCCTCAGGTGCAAAGGGGCGATTCCCTCTAGGCACCGCACGCTCCTAGTGGGTGGTATGTGTGTGGGGGGAACTTCATGCGCTCCCCTGCCCGTAGGCGAATCAGGACCTGGGGACGGGGCAGTTCGCAAAGTCACTCGCTGTTGAAAACAGCTGGTGGCACATGCCCCTGGAGGAGAGAGGCAGCTGCCAGCTGTTTTGAACAGCGAATGACTGCGCACTCCTGCCGCCCCCACGGCTTGGCGGGCCAGATTCAGCCCACCGGCTGTATCTTGCCCACCCCTGTGCTAAGACAAGAGACCACAGGCGGATACAACCGAAGCTAATGTTGTAAGTTCCATTTTCCTGGTTGCCCCTAGTCTATAAAGTAAAAGGGTCACATTGTGTATGGTTATTAAAGGGTTAAAGCCCTCCCTGCCCCCAGCCCTACAGTCTAGCATTGGCTCTGGGATGGAAAGTCCCAGCTACACAACCCTCTGGCCGCAATGTCACTGGGTTACATTCCCAATGGCAAATCAATGGCAGATGGCTCCCTAGCCCATGCCCAGAGCCTGGGGCTCACTGGACACTTACGGCTTTGGTGGTGGGGAAGGAAATGGGCTTGTCTCGCACAAACCCGCTCCCCGGCTGGTAGACGCTCCAGGGCAGGGGGTACTTGCCATCGGGCAGCTGGAGGGGCCGGAAGTGCTTGGTGGTCACCGTATCGTAGTTATCTTGGAGAAGCTGTCTGGAGCAGGAGGAAGAGAACAAGTGAGGGATAATGGTCAGAGTAGCTAGGTCTTCTGTAGGTCTCACAGCTCTCTGGAAAGGAGGCCAAGATCATCACCACTAGGGAAACTGAGGCATGGGAAGTGACTTGCCCACTGTGGTCGAACGGCAGAGCTGGGAAGAAAACTCCTGAGCCCCAGCCAAGTGCTCTATCTGCTCAACCACATGGCTGCCTTGAGCAGGACTGCCCTTCCCCAAAAGCAATCTCAGTTCTGCACTGACATGCTGTCCGCCCCAAGGGGTGAATGGGGAGCAGTGAGGGAGACCCGCCAAGCTGGAGTACCCTCTAGGGCTGCCCTGTTGGGATCAACACTCCACGATAGAAGGGAGGGTCTATTGCCCATGAGGCAATCCCCACCTTGCACACAGCTCTACCCAGACCCCCTCAACTCCTCAGGGTGCACATGGACAGCCTACCCCATGGCTGGATTATCCACTTGATCCAGGCTGTCCTTGTAGGAGACAACAGGCCGGTAATTGGATTTGTACCCAGCTCCGGAGTGGTGGCCGATGCGAGGGTGGAACCTCTCCTGCCCTGCCAAACAGCAGCGGGAGGGCAGGTATCAGCCACGCAGACAATGGGGGGAGACCATGGAGAGAGAGGGACTCTTGCTCAGGGTGGACAAGCCCTTTGTGCATTCAGAGCCTTAGAAAGGACTTGCTCTTCCAGGACAATCCCTAAGAGCCAAACCGTGGGCATCAAGGGTTAATTAAACCCAGGAGATGGAGCTGAGGCAGCAAGTCTGTAGTACTGCACCAGGACAGGACTTATACAGGTTACACAGGCTCTGGCCACCTGAGGGTACTAGAGAGAGCACATAGGCTACTCAGGACTGTGGCTGAGGCCTGGGACCAAGCACTGTGGATTCAGTCCTTAGAGGGGTTAGTGCGGGGGACTGGCCAGAGACACGGGGCCCTGTTAGGGATGCAGCTTTGGGCTTTGTCCCTGGTGGGACAAGGAGACGGGGGCCAGGCTGGCAGTGCCCTGTGGGCAAGTGGTGCAGGGTGGCAGAGAGGCACTGCTGACTGGTTCTCTGGCTCCAGTGAGTTGGTGACACCAGGGGGAGTGATGGCCAGCCCACTGGGATGCAGGGAAGGCCATTCACATGGCCTGTAGGGTGCAGGCTCCAGGCCTGGCATGCACTTTACCCTCCCCACCCCTGATCCTTCACGGCCATATTTGCCACGTTGGCCACACTTCCCACAGGGCCCTTACCATAAGCTGTGCTGTAGCTGGTGGCATAGAACTTCAGAGGGTCCACACTCCCACCAGTGCTGGTCCTCACATAGGGCGAGACGCCACCCAGGGGGAGGCGCCCCATGGCCAAGGTAGGGCTGGGTCTCCACAGGCTGCCTGGTAGCTATAGAAACAGAGGCTGTGGTACGGGGGAGATGGGCAGCTCACCACCCGCCCTGCCCAGCTCAACTGATCCTCTGGGGTCACCCTGGTAACGGAATGTGAGGTCATACCTGTGACACTGTGACATCAGAGTGCAGGAACAAAACTCAGCTCCAAGCTGGGATCCCTGGACAAGAGAGGCCTGGATCTCCTGGGAGATCCGGAGAAAGCCCCAGAGCCCCAAGACCCAGGATCTCAGTTCTGACTCCAACTGATCCTGCCAGGGCCTGGAGATGACAGGGAACCGTGCTGAGCCCAGAGGCTACAGGACACTAGCGCCTGTTACCTTCCTGCCTCAGCGGGTCTCTGAGGGAGCATTTTTGTGGTAGCTGTCTGCTCCCTGACACTGCCAGCCCTTCAGCCACACTCACTCTCCCCTCAGGGGCTGTGCCAGCCTCTACTTTGCCTTGAAGGGCAGCACTTGGTGCACCACAGACTCATCAAAGGCGTCCCCTTGCGGTGTCCAGCCCCTGACACTGACCCCTCAGTTTGCTACTCTCCAGGGAACGGGACACCCACTGGCTCGTTTGAGACCAGGGTAGCCAGGCAGCGTTGGCATATCTTTGCCCGGACAAGCACTCTCAGTTCAGTCACAAAGGTTAAGATTTAAGAGCTAGCATGCAGGGGGAATAAGAAGAGTCCGTTAGGTGTAAAGCTTTTAACAGGTGAAAATCCCCTTCTTGGGAACTTCCTAGCCTCACTTGCCACGAGGCCAGGATCCGACCTTCGTTCATGGGAAAAGCGGTGTCAGTTTTGCTACCTCACTGAAGGATAACCAATATGTCCTTTTGCCTTCCCCAGAGGCCCCCTAAATTCATGGTCTTCACACCCCCTAGCCACAGCAGCCCCTGCAGGCTGGTCTCCAGCCCCCATTCATGCCCTAGGCAGAGGTGGCATCACTTACATCTGACAGACGCACATTGGATCTCCTGTCTGGCTGAACACAGCATCAGCTCTGCCAGGTTACAGCCGTTAAGACAGAGTGCCGGGGGCGCACATCATATTGGAGAGATCTTCTCCGTACGGACATTGCACACCAGTGTTTGTGAGCAGCGTGACGCCGGCTTTCACTCACCTTGCACAACGCTATTTCTGGATAAATCCCATGACAGCAGGGCACTAGGTGCAGTGAGTTTGTCAGGCCTGTGAGAGGCTGAGGAAAACCCTTTGCCAGCTGGCATTGAGGGCCTCTGACGATTGCAGACTAAGTGCCCTCCAGAGTTACCAGGCCCTTCAGGGGCTCCTGCCTTCCCTCCTCTCCCCCATGAAGTCCTTCAGCTTCTCTTCCCTTCTGCTCCAGCTCCCCAGCACTTGGTGGAGCTCCCCAAGCCCAGCTATGTACCCCATCTCTTCTGGGACAGGTTCTCCCCATGCAAGCTGGGAATTAGCAAGAAACTCTGTACAGAGGATGATCTGGCCTGACAGAATAAATTTGCAGGAAGCGCCTCCATCCCAGCCAAGAACGTACTGGGGAGAGTCAGGGTTCCAACATAACTAGAGGCTCAGAGAGCAGGGGGACATGCATCCTTCCCCCCCCCCACACACACATCCCAACAGATGTGTAAAGATGTGGCCCACACTGAGCATCTTCGTGCTGTGCTCTGCTGAGGAGCTGTCCTCGTCAACTCTAGAAGTACCTGAGAAGGCTCCTCAAAGCTACCTCATGGCAGCTGCTACGGGGAGGCCTCGGGGGGCTTGTACCCACCTCAGAGATCCAGGGGTCAGCACAGGAAAGAGATGTGTTGGTCCTTTCCCTGGCTCTGCCCACAACCCAAGCTTTCCACCCCTCCACTCATGACACAGACAGGGGGTGCTACCACAACTACATTATGAAATTCTCCATTATTTGTATGATTGCAGTGCCCAGGACCCCCAGTAACGGACCCTACCATGCCTGGTGCTAGCCGAACAGAACAAAAAGACTTGCCCGGTCATCTGATCCCCCTTCTTTCTCATTTGCTTTGTTCCATTGTGAAAGAACTGACGTTGACACGCATGATGTTATTAGGCTTCAGAGTTAACAGCTGTAGACCGATGGGGATACTGCCCCTTCTCAGAGCCATTATTCCCAGGGGAGGAGGGGCTCAGTGAGCAGTGCAAACCCATCATGGCTATTGCCACTGGCTATCCCCCTTCGGTCGACATGCTCAGCAGAGGCCACAGAACCAGCCATCCCCTCAGCTCTGGGGTCAATCCCTCTGGGCCAGGGCTGAGCCACACGAATTTCCCCACCCCCGCTACCCCCTTACCTGCCCCCAGTGGGGCTCTGGCGAGTTCCTGGCAGGGGCTGAGCCGGGGTAGGCACTCGCTGGAGGAATGTGCAGGCCTGCCCAGTCGCAGCCTGTCTCCGAGTGACCAGTGCATAGCAACCGGCTGGGGAAACAGGATAGCTTCCAGCAGGAGGGCGGGGAGGCCCAGGCTGCAGGGGGATCTTACAAGCCCTGACAATGCAGGCTGGCATCCCAGTGGAGAGCTGGGGCTGCAGTGGTTTCCAGCCCTGCTCCCCGCTCGCAGCTGATAGAGGCATTCGGCCTTGCTGGGTCACACAGGGGGTGCTGCACAGCTGCGCCCTCTTCCCAACATTACCATGAGGCAGCAGGAGCAGGGAGAGCAGCCAATGGGCCATGGCCAAAGCAAGGGGAGAGGGCATTAGGAAGACAGAAAACCAAGGGGCCAAGCAAATGTAGCTGCAGGGGGTCTGGCTGAGAGCAAGGGATGGTAGGGCTGGCCTTAGATAGCCCCCCTCACCACACCCAGGGGAGCCTTAACACCCAGCCCTCCAGCATTCAGGAGGCAGCACAATATACCCATTCCCTGGTACTGTAGCTGAGTGTAGCCTGCCTCGATCCCGCTACAGCTCCTGGGGAGTCTCCTTGCAGTGTGCACCTGTCCCCGATGCTGAGCTGCAAACAGATCAGTTGCTGTGTGTGTGTCTGCTCCCCCTCCTTCCCTGCTAACGGTCCCATCTTTGGCCTACTCCTCTACCCTGCAATGAAGAGAGGCCCCTCTCTATAGCAATGAGGTACCTAATGCCCCCAGCCAATGTTCCCTCCAAATTTTTCCATTCCCCCATGTGGAATAAATATTCTGAGCACTGAGCCATGTGCGGATGTGCACCACCAGCAGAAACACATGCTGCTAGTTGACAGTCTCTGCTAATGAGCTGGGTGGGTGTCCAAGCACACAGCTTACAGGACACATTGCCTCCAACCATTCTATTCACCACCCCAGGCCACCGCAAACCATCACCAACCCCTGGCCAGCACCTTAGGTCTCCCCCTTGCAGAGGCATTTAAAAGGAGGAATGAAGGCTCTGTATAAACTGCAGGGTGGGTGGGGGGTTTTAGATCATGGCAACATCAGCACCCAATGTTTGAATTTCAGGGAGCAGCTATGGCTAAGCCTCTCTTCTCCCTGTCCTGCACCTCTTCCAACAGGATGATGGGCCCAGGTAGTCTGGCTTCAGCCTCCCGCCTGAGGCCACAGCTGCTCAGGCAGCAGGGGACAGGTCAGTCCTGCACCAGGAGCAGGTAGGGTTGTGGGCCAGCAGGGCTGTCCCACCACTCGGCAGCAGCTGTCCAAGTCCATCCTGGTCCACGCTGCAGTTGCTGCTCACTGCCCGGCTGGTGGGTGAGGGGGACAGCACATGGTGCTTAGGAGCCCTGGGCTGTCTCAACCTACAGCAGCCTCAGGGGAGACACTGAAGGAGCTGAGCCTGGGGTCTGCCACTTGGCAAACAACCAGGTGGGTGAAGGGGCCATGCCCTGGCAAAGGAGACCATGGGTTCCATTCCTCTACATCTCTCCATGGGGGCATGGCTCCTCATCCCCAGTACCTGAGGAGACAGGACCCCCTCACACCTCCACTCGTGCACCCAGTGGTTCAGTTCTTGCGGTGTCTCCCTTAGGCCTGCTGCTGGGTCAGGGCTTCAGACTGGGGCATTGTCACTGTCCCCCTCTCCCTGCTGGCCAAGCAAGCAACTGTAGCTACAGCCTGGGCTGGATGTACAGTGGCATCTGATGAAACCTGCCCAGCCTACACCCCATTATTGTGAGCTGTCCTAAGTCCACTTCCATCTCCCTCCCTACTGGCAAAAACACAGCACTGGGCTAATTTCACAGTTTCCATAGGGTGCGTCTACACAGCACCCGAAACTCAAAATAACATGTAATTTGCATAGCTTATTTCGAGTCTGTTTCAAAATAGCTTATTTATTTCATCATTTGCTGCTGCCTACCCAGTGCCAAATTTTGAAATCAAGCCCTATTTCAAGCCATTCCTTACTCCTCGTAGGATGAGGTTTACAGGGATAGCGAAATAGTGCATCCACTATATTTCGAAATAGCTACCCGTCTTTTGAACGCGTCCGCTATTTTGGGATTCCTCTGGTATCCTGAAATAACTTTGCTGTGTAGATATACCCATACAGTCCCTGAAACCATGATTCAACAGGGCCTTACTGATAACACAGGAGACACAATAGCCAGGCTATCCTGGGACAGCAGTTCAAGTAGCTGAGATCTACTGGTTACAAGGTGTTGGCTCCTCCTCCTTTCCAGCTGATACACAGCAAGTTAAACTCATCAAACCCCTCCTAGGCTCTTTCCCACACCAGCCATTACCTTAAGGACACAATCTGAGCACCAGCGGGGGGAAGAGGCCAAGAAACTCTCTCTCTATGGGACAGGAAATGCCCATTTTGTTCTGTCCTTGCACAACAGGACCTGGCACAGAACTGCGACCCTTAGACACTTCTGCCCCACCCACCCAAAATCACCTACACTCTTGGAAAGTGCTCAGTTAAGCAAACTGTTTTCAGCCTATGGGATCGGTTGCATATTTTGGTCGCTAACCTCACACAGGATTGAGGTGGGATCTGTTGCTACTGTCATGGCATGGCACTGCTGCTCCCCTCCTGGAGTCTGGAGAAGAGGGAGCAGTGGATACTCTTTCGGCCGGGTGGGTCTGTTTTCTCTCTTTACACTGATTTTCCCCATTGGAGGGTCCTGGACACAAGGATTTACAAGGAATGGTTAATGGAGAGGCTGCAGCCATCAGAGAGGCAACACAGGTGAACAAGAGGAATTTCACAATGAGACAAAGCACATTGTCATGATGTGATCATCTTCTATTTCTCTTGCACCGAGATGCGAGAGAAGCTATATACATAAAATGCCAGTGTCTGGGGTGAACTGCTGCACCTGCACAACAATGGGACAAATCCACATATACATTCCCACTGTCAGGGACAGTGTTTGCAACTTTAATTGGTGGGGGCTGGAAATCGGGGGAGAAGCAGGCACCCGGCGGAGGATTCCAGGAGCCAGGGCAGCAGCACTGCAGTTTGCCAAATAGGTCGAGACACCTCAGCCTCTGCTGCCAGGGGTGAGAAGAGGATCCCAGAGCTGACTGGAGGTGCCTCAGTGTTGGGGCTCAAAGAGATACTCCAGGTCCGGCTGCCGCAGTCTCTGCTCCTTGTTCTTGTTCTTGGTGAACTCTCTCAGCATCACCATGACATCATTCTCAAACACCTCCGGAGTGGGCTTAGCTTCTTTAGGGAGAAAAGACACAGGATGAGATGCAGCACCCCCACCCCCACTTCTCAGTCACCAGCTTTGCATCTTTATGCTTGGTGCAGCCTATCAGGAGTCACACTGAAGCCAGTCTCATACCCTTCTAACACTGCAGTGCCTCTTTCAAACCTGCTTCACCAAACACCATGGGATCTCAGGTCAGAGCAGCTAACCACTTCTCCTAGTGACACCCATCTCAGATGGCAGCCACTTACTGCAGGGTTTTACTTCTCCTGTAGTACTGGGGAATTCCTTCCTGCCCCCATCTTATGATCATCTTGTACTTTAAAGCATGAAGATTGGAAGCCATGGGCATTTTCTGAGCAAGAATCACTGTGGCTGCCATTTTGATCCACACTGGGTGTGGAGTTTAGATCAACTGAGATACATTCATCACCCCAGAAAGCTTCCTGCTCCATCCCATCATAGGAGTCACGGCCCAGCTATACCACCACCTAGCTCTTGTAGATTACAAAGATTAATATCCTCATCCCTATTTTATAGATTGGGAACATGAGCTACAGGGAGAGGAAAAGACTTGTCCAAGGTCACCTAGCAGAATTGTGGCAGACTTTGGAATAGAGCCCCAGTCCACTGCTCTATCTTCTAGGCCAGGGGTGAGCCAAGCTGCTGTACCTGGCCCCCAGCTGCCTCGCCAGCACCCTTACTACAGAACAGGAGCAGCTGCTTTAAAGAGCAGGCAGCTAATTGCTCTACAAGCTGTGCAGGGAGGAGGAAGCTTCCAACACTGTCCCCGCCCCTAACAAAATCCCCCAGCTCCCATTGGCCAGTTTTTGGCTAATAGGAGCCAAAAAATTTTGCTGAAGACTGGGCAGCTGTCCTTACTCCCCCTCCCAGGCTGGTGCAGACACATGTAGAGCAGCTCACGCAACACACAGGTAGGGAGTCTGCAGGGCTGCTGGCTGGGAGACGCCTAGGTAAGCGCCCCCCAGCCAGTGGCTGCCTCTGGCACCCCTCACTTCCCACAACTACGTGCCCCAGGCCATCACCTAAACCTCCTGTATCCCCTTTTCCCACCTCCTTCAGGTCACAACTCTCTCCCAGTCCCTGCACACACACTCCCCTTCCACTCCTCCCCCAGGCCAGAATCCTCTGCTGCACCCTAAACCTCTGCCCCAGATTATAATCCCTTCCTTCACCCAAACTCCCTCTCAGACCCCACACTCCCTCCTGCAACCTAGTCCTCTATCCCAAGCTCCCTTCTATTCTCCACCTGCTGTCCCAGACACCGTGCCCCGTTCACAGAAGTGCAGTCCTTGACTACTTTCCAAAATCTCAAAGTGGCGCACCCCTCCCCCCTCATTAAAATGTATTGCCCGCCTCTGCTCTAGGCCATGCTGCCTCCTGTGAAGCATGCCCTGTTGCAAGACAGTACCTGTTGCCCAGTAGTAAATGTCCCAGTCATTGGTGGGCTCGTTGATAAGGCGATCATAGAGGTTCAACTGCTGTTCAGTCATGCTGTTCAGATTCTCCTTTGCAAAGAGGCTAAATGAGGCAAGAGAGAAGCCACAAAGCATTAGAAACATAGGAAGTGCCATGCTCACAGCCTGGGTCTGTCCAGCACAGCATCCTGTACTAAACTGGCCAGGGCCAGGAGCAGGCAGATAATCTACCCTTAAGCCAATCTCTAGTTATTAAAGTTCTGTTTGACCCTGTAGCTGAAAAGTTTAATAGTCCTGCCAACATTATAAATAACAACTCTGGACATTCTAATTGTGCATGGAAATGTCCAGATGCTTTGGAATCTTATCATGTTCCTGGCCTCACCAACTTCTCATGGTAGGGAGTTCCACAGGCTAAATAGGCAGTGTGTGAAAAAAAGGATTCCCTTTTATCAGCTCTGAACTTCCCATCATTCCATGTAATTGACTGTCCCCCTTTGTTTGTTAGGAGACAGAGAGAACAGAAGCTCCCAACCAGGGCTTTGTCAAGCTGGGACTTAAACACCTCTAGGGATGGAGACTCCACTACTTCTCTAGGTAAACCATTCCAGTGCTTCACCACCCTCCTAGTGAAATAGTTTTTCCTAATATCCAACCTGGACCTTTCCCACCACAACTTGAGACCATTGCTCCTTGTTCCGCCATCTGTCACTACTGAGAACAGCCTTTCTCCAGTCTTTTTGGAACCTCCCTTCAGGAAGTTGAAGGCTGCTATCAAATCCCCCCTCACTCTTCTCTTCTGCAGACTAAACAAACCCAACTCCCTCAGCCTCTCCTTGTAGGTCATATGCTCCAGCCCCCTAACCATTTTGGTTGCCCTCCACTGGACCCTCTCCAATGCATCCACAATCCTTCCTGTAATTGAGGGCCCAGAACTGGATACAGTACTCCAGATGTGGCCTCACCAGAGCCGAATAAAGGGGAATAATGACATCTCTGGATCTGCTGGCAATGCTCCTCTTAATGCAATCTAATATGCCATTAGCCTTCTTGGCTACAAGGGCACACTGTTGACTCATAACCAGCTTCTCATCCACTGTTTGTCGACCCCCTCAAAGAACTCTAGCTTACCCGTCTGTAATTGCCAAGATCATCTCTAGAGCCCTTTTTAAATATTGGCATCACGTTAGCTATCTTCCAGTCATTAGATACAGACGCTGATTTAAAGGATAGGTTACAAATCACAGTTAATAGTTCCACAATTTCACATTTGAGTTCTTTCAGAACTCTTGGGTGAATGCCATCTGGTCCCAGTGACTTGTTACTGTTAAGTTCATCAATTTGTTCCAAAACCTCCTCTAATGACACCTCAGTCTGGGACAATTCCTCAGATTTGTCACCTGAAAAGAATGGCTCAGGTTTGGGAATCTTTCCAATATCCTCAGCCGTGAAGACTGAAGCCATTTAGCTTCTCCGCTATGACTTTATCATCTTTGAGCGCTCCTTCAGCATCTCGACCATCCAAGGGCCCCACTGGTTGTTTAGCAGGCTTCCTGCTTCTGATGTACTTAAACATTTTGCTATTACGTTTTGAGTTTTTGGCTTGCTGTTCTTCAAATTCCTTTTTGGCTTTTCTTATTATGTTTTTACACTTAATTTGACAGAGTTTATGCTTCTTTCTATTTTCCTCACTAGGATCTGACTTCTACTTTATAAAAAATGTCTTATCATCTGTTACTGCTTCTTTTACTTGGTTGTTAAGCAAGGTGGCACTTTTTTTGGTTCTCCTACTGTGTTTTTTAACACAGCTGAGGCTGCACTACTGATTTATGGGATGGCACTGGAGTATTTTATCAGCATTGAATTTCACTTGCCACTATGCTGCCCATTCCCTTAACAGGGCTTGGTCTTGCAAAGGTGCCACACAGCCCCCTGCAGCTTGACTAATGTTAGTAACTTCATGTCATTGTGACTCACACCTCACTGCCATCTCCAGATCACTAAGAACAGCTACACTGGATCAGTATCCTGTACTCCAACAGCAGCCAGTGCCAGGTGCCCCAGAGGGAATAAATCATTAAGTAATCCCTCCCCTGTCACCTATTCCCAGGCTCTGGCAAACAGAGGCTAGAGACACCATTCCTGCCAGTCCTGGCTAATATTCCTCATGAATTTATTTAGCTCTTTTTTGAAGTGTCACTGAACCTAAAGGCAACCTTGGTTCCCCACTGTGGGGAATGGAGCAGCCCAGTAGAGGCAAGCAAAGCCGGGAGAGCTGCTGGGGAGGAGGAGACTCTCATGCCCCTCTTCCCTCAAGTAGGTGTAAGGCCGGCCGACTGAACCAAACCTGGGTCTTCTGGAGCTTAGTACACAAGCGACCGCAGCTTGAGCTAAAAGCCAGCTGGCTCTCAGGTGAAGCTGTAGAACAGGGGCGGGGAACCTTTTTGGGGTCAGGGGCTGCTGACCTACAGAATGTCAGTTGGGTGCTGCACAGAAGTGAAAAGCCAAACCAAAAAAAAAAAAAAAAAAACCAAGCCCGGAACCCTCACTGACGTGGCCCCCGACTGAGAAGGAGAAAGACCCTCCCCGCATCAGAGCCTAGTAGGACCCAGGCTAGTAGACTGTGTGTGCTGCAGCTCCCCAGTGCTAGGAGGGGAGCCCTGAGCCTGGGGGGCCGGATCCAGGCCCTGGAGCCTGAGGTTTCTCCTGCTGCGTGTACAGCAGACCCACGCCCCGCCTGCGGGGGTCTGTGCGG